GGATTCGTCATCATCGTCCGAGTTGGAATCCGAAGAGTTACCTCCGGATCAAGTGATCATCAAGGGACAACGAAGAATCAACATCAGCAGTGAATCCTGTGATCAGGAAGAAGAGCCTAAAACCGAAACACAGAAGCTGATTCAAGGTGTGAATGAATCTATTTATAAATTCAACGAATCGTTAGCCGGTGCGCCAACGAATGTTTCTAATCCTACAAACAACACTTTATTTTGGGACTATGAAGGATTAGATCAAACTCCCAGAAGACAATATGTTTCCGATGGTGAAGATGATCAGGAGCATTTAGATTATTTGAAGAGTTTTGACCTTGCGACTGAATACGAAGACGGACTTCCGGAAAGAGTTAAAAAATTCTTGGATGAATTTAATCGAAGCCGAGTGGAAAAGCAACACGTGGAAATGCTTGACATTCCCTCAGATCCCCGGCCACTTTCAACACTCACAGTAAATTCAAAGGAAACCCCACTAACTAGCCGTCCAAGTGAATCTAAGAAAGGAAGTATCGTTAGATTCAAAGAATTACCGGAATTATTCGAGGTCTCACAAGATGAACAACAAACGTTGCCCGAAAACACCACTCCAGGGCCCTCATCAATACCGTTTGCACAATCCACCCCTTTCACCCGTTTCAGGACTAATGTCATCGAACCAGAAGAGAAGGTGGTAAGGAAAGGATCCATTATGAAGCCAAGGAGAATTCAGACAGAAAAGGACTCCACACAGTTAACTGATCATCTCTTGAGCAAATCATTTATAGACATTAAGGAGCCTTACCTGGACCACTTTTCTCTTGAATCGGAAAGTGAGAACGAAATAATAAGTGAAAGTGAAAGTGAAAGTGTAATTAAAAATCGTGATCCTTTAAAAGAAAGAATTCATGAATGCGTCTCAAATAAATGGACAGAACCCCTGACTTACCAACGTGACAATTACGCCCATTTCATATCGGAAGATTGCGAACCTACAAACCCGATATCTAAACTCTTAATCGCTACCGAATGTATTGATCTCCAAGAAATTAGAGACCGTAAACCCGTGAAGGGACAAATTCATGTCACCCAAAATGGTAAATATAAAGTTTATTCTATTGTTGTAAAAAGGTGTCATTTTGATGAAGTTTGTTGGAAAGACGTTATAAAAGGACTAAATAACTTAAGAAAAGCCCTAGAATCTGACCACCAAAAATCATGCAGAATGGCAAACACAGGAGATCTGTTAGGCGCGATTCCACAAGGAAAGATGACAGAACTTGTCACAGGAGTTTTCCGCGGTGGTGATATTTCTATCGCCCTTTGCCACGGAAAAATAGAAGTGCCCCCAATAGCTTTGCGTAACAAGATCATTGCCGAATTCCACTCTAGTCTAATCGGTGGGCATAAAGGTATATCGAAAACCTACCGAAGAATTCGAGAGCGATATTATTGGCCTCGAATGCGTGACGAGGTCACACAGTATATTCGTGGCTGCAAAAGCTGTTTTGAGAATAAACTGGTTAGGGCACGAACTAGGGAACCCATGCTGATCACCGACACTCCAGCAATGCCTTTCGACAAGGTATCATTGGACACAGTAGGAAAATTACAAACGACCCCAAACGGAAATCGGCATATCCTTACAATGCAAGACAATTTTTCAAAGTATTGTATTGCGGTTCCAATACCAAACATAGAAACCAAAACTATCGCCCACGCAGTGGCAACAAATCTTTTTTCTGTCTTTGGAGCACCTCGCTGTGTGCTTACGGACAGAGGAGCAAGTTTTGTGAGCTCTTTGATGCGGAAAATAGAAAAGATCTTTGGTGTCAAACAGCTTACCACTTCTGGCTACCGACCACAAACAAATGGAGCACTCGAAAGAAGCCATATTGAATTGACGGATTATATTAAGCATTATGCAAGGGACTACGACGATTGGGATCGTCTACTTCCATTTGCCATGTTTAATTATAACACGTCAGTTCACGAGGCTACGAATTTTACGCCATTTGAACTCGTGTTCGGTCATTTGGCAAGAACCCCTAGTTCCCTGCCTCAGGGTCCAGAGGTTGAAACGTATGGTTCCTATTTAAAGGACCTCATTACCCGAATGAATGAACTACAAAATCTTGCAGCCAAATATTTGGTAAAAGCGAAGGAAAGGTCAAAGCAAATTTACGATAAGAAATCTAAGCCTTTAAAAGCTAAAGTAGGAGATCAGGTTTACGTTTACAAGGAAGTTCGAACAAACAAATTTGATAGACGAGCAGATGGTCCTTTTACCATTGTAGGATTCACCGAAAACAACAATGTGATCCTAGAAAACGAAAATGGCGCGCGATTTTCGAAACATCGCGACAAGGTCATGGTTGCTCGAATTTGAACCTCAACTGCATATCAACTAATCGAAATTCTATTTTCAGATAGCGATGTTGAAATCGATCCAGATGTTTGCCCGCACTGTCATCCCTTTGTGCCTAATTTCCAGCCTTGTAGCACTGGCGGTGCAGGATGGACCGGATCCACTGGACAAATCCACCGACTACAGCAGCTACCAAAACCTTCCACTTGAAGCCAGTAGTGGAATGTACTTCGAATATATCGGCGTGGTGAGACGATCAGTCAGCAATTGGAGGATCACCATATTCCTGGATGTCGGCAAACATAGCCGATTCTTCGACGACTTAAAGGCCAGACTGCAGCGACTAACGGAACAATGCAAACCTAAAGAAGATTGGTGCAGAGAATTAACAAGTGAATATCAATGGGAAGACCGATGGGAAATGGCCTCGGAGTTGCAGAAACAATTCCGAACCCAGGTGGAAGAACTTGAAAATACCAAAATGACCTCACCTGGAAAGATGTCCTCGCAGTTACGAGCAAGACGATCCGTTCCCCTGTTTGGATTTCTGGGAAAAATCGCGGGACCAATAGCTGGAGTTCTAACATATGATGATGGAGAAAAATATGATACCGCCATCAAAAATCTTAACGAGGCCCAGGCCAACTTATCCCATCTGGTCGGAAAGCAGACACATATTGTGAGATCGCAGTTGGATTCCTTACATTCTCAGGTCCAACGACATGGTGTATTGTTAAAGAATTTGCAGGACCAACTTCAATCCCTACTTGCCAAGGTTCATCAAACATCGAAGGAAGAAATGGAGCGAATGAACCTGACGTACGCCGTGGCGAGAGCCTTGAAGTTGGGCTTGGATCATAACATCCAGGCAATGGTTACGATGTTGGATGCGGTCCACGAATCAAGGAAGGGCCAACTCCATCCTGGCCTCATCACTTCAGAACAATTGGAACCCATTCTGCGAGAGATCCAGGATAACTTGAAGGATGTCAATTTTCCTCTAACGGGACCAAGGATCAGCATTGACGAACTAATGCGCATCTCTGTCGTTACAACCATTTGTGAAAATCACCAACTCAAAATCCTCCTGGACATCCCACTCCTAGAAAAATACAACTATCAATCTTATAAAATCCACTCGCTCCCAACAGTCCAATACTCTTTGAACAATGGGACTGGAAGAGCATATATAAAATCAGAATACGACTATCTCATCATAGACGAGGATCAACGCACTTACCTGTTATTGAAAGCAACGGATTGGAATTCTTGCAAGGCCACGGCCGCGTACCACGCATGTTTGAAGGGTACTCCAATCTACGATTTTGAGAAGAGGCCATCCTGCGAAGCCCAGTTGCTGATAAATCCAACAATTCATACCTTGAAGAATTGCAATATCAAGGTAACTACCAACCCGAAATCACACTGGGAACCTTTATTAACCATAGGAGGATGGTTATACTCCTTCGCTGCGCCGGAAGCTGTGATCATAGCCTGTCATTCTATCAGCCCCACCAAATTATCCCTCCAAGGTACCGGAATCTTAAAACTGGCCCCAGGATGTTCCGTAAAAACAAGGGACGTTATTGTGCCAGCTACAATTTCCGAAGCTGGAAAATCGGAATTTATTTTCGAATCGGAGCTACACTTGAATCTTACTATACTGTCGCCATTATTGGCAAGATATGGACACCTGCTGCAGAAGTCTGACATCCCACTTGGATCTGGCCCTGCGATCGAACCTAAATTCTCCAGTTTCGAGATCAACTCCAAAACCTTGGACGAGCTAGAGCAACAACTCCAGGAATTTTCCCTTCAACGCCACCTAAAGGGAGAAAATCAGATTCTAGTGTACGGCTCGTATGGAGGATTGATTCTACTATTTATGATAATGATGCTGTATTTTTGCTACACATCACTCAAGGGTAATTCCAACAATTTAACTCGAGTATTGAACATCAAAAGGACAAGTGGTAATTTCGAACTACCAACACAAGGAAAATCCGACCGTGTTACCCAACTACCAGCAACAGCAGAAACACTATATGAAGTAATTACACCATCCTCAGATAGACCAGTTTCTTCCAAAGAGGAAATAGCAGTGAAAGTTAAGGATGTGCTGCGCCCAAGCTCCACAAACAATGTTAACCAGAGTGAACAAAAGTCTGCAACGACCGAAGATAAACAACAACGAAGAATCAGATGACTGTCCGAAGGATTAGGATCATTGATCCTCGAAGCCAATGCCGAGGAAGATTCTGTCGGGAGAAGGCACCGCCCAATTCTCTAAGGTGTACCATAAAGCAACCCGACATTGTTGATCATCAGTAACGTCCGGAAGATCGACCTCGAAGATCAACCATGAAGCTGAGTAAACGTTTAATCTCGAACCGATTAACAATTTGATAAAAACATTTGAGTATTTATAACTTGAATATTAACATTTTCTTTTGAAAACAATATTTCACTTATTAATAAAAGCATTTAAAGTAAAACGAAATTCTAAATAATCAAAATTTAAAGAAAGGGTCAGATTTTGTATTAAAAGTTAATTTCATTTCAATTAAAGACACAAATTTTTTTTAATTTTACTAAATAATATCTCAAAAAAAAAAAAAGTGGAAGAAGATGGAGTGAGTCACAAGGTCGCTATAATTAAGCAATAAACATTTTATTAGATGCAAAACTCATTTATTCGAAAAAAAAAAAGGAAGTGAAATGTCATTATCATAAGAGGGCCTAATAACCCTTTAAATTGTAATTGTGAAATTTTCTTTATTTATTTTATTTTATCTTTAATTTTTTTTTCTCTTAAAAAAAAAAGAAAGAGGGAAATTGGCGCAGCGACGGAACGGGCACACCTGTCCTAAACTGTACTCGTGCCGGGGCGTAGCTCGGGGCACCCCCCTTTCATCGCGCGGTTCCTTTCTTCCTCCACCTCTTTTAAAGTCCGGCTAAGGACGTCCTCAGTGGTCTGGTATCCTTCGAAAGGTGCCATCCTTGGCAACGCGGAGAAAAGGCTAAAAGAATAAATGTACAAATTTACTATCGATTCCATAAAAAAAAAAAAACAAATAAATAAATAAATAAAAAAAAAAAATAAAATAAAAAAAAAATATACTTGCATCTTCTCCTACAATTTTTTCCACAAGGGATTCTTGCAACTTTTAATTTTTTTTGTGGGATGCTGGTTTTTTGGACCTGGTATTGTGCGAGTCGTCAATTGAAGAATGTAACCGCAACTACGGCATTTCCACTCGTGCGGATGCAACTTCTCATAAACTTTTTCCGGCAGCTCGTGACTAAGAACCACCTAAAAAAAAAAAAAGGGGAGAGTGTTTGTTTTTTTTTTTCTTCTTTACAGTTATTAAAAAAAAAAAGAGAGATAATATATAGTTGAGCTGAGCTCCACTAAACAATTCACAAAAGGAATTTACCTTGTAGGGCCCAATCTTATTTATCCTCTCCATTTCTTCGACAAACTTGCCACAATGCCAGTGACTGCTAGCATCCCACTTGTGCTGGAAGCACTTCACGTGGATCATTTCATGTAGGAGAGTCGCCATAAGATCTTCTTCCGGTAGCAAGCTGTGAATCTCCCAGCTGATACGAATGTATCTCTTTTTCGTATCTGTGAACCCGGAAGTCCTCCTCATATTCTGCCCCCAGTCTACGGTAAATCCCGCCCGTTTCAATTCCCCATTAAAATAGCGGACATCCAAATTTTTGTAAAGCTCGTAAAGATCCGGACGGTTGTCCTTACTGCTGGAAGGTCGATAAAACGAGAGTGGCACCTTTCGATCTTGTGGATCTTCCCTCCATTTGATATAAGCTAAAAAAAAAAAAAAAAAAAAAAAAAAAAGGAAAACAAAATTTTTTTTTAATTTTAATTATAAGCAATAAGGATGAACAATTAATTAAAATCAAGTTAAATTTAAAAGGGGAAAGGAAATCAGTCACAACGAACAAAGAATTAACTACTCTACTTTGACTAGACGAGATTTCTCGAACTTCTAGATAGCGCCACTTCGCAGCCCGTTTTCAGGCACTCCGGATGAAAAATCACCTTGAATATGCCTAGTCGGGAAATAAGGATAAGACTCTGTAGAGTAGTTTAAGCTTTCCCAGATGAAAATTGCTCTAACCTTGCCCAAGTTATCGTCGATTTACTCAAGCAGTATACATATACATAAAGAATAAAAAAAATAAAAAAAAAATCAGAGAAACACTTGTGTCACAAACCTTACCCGAAAAAATGAACGACACGACAATTTGTCTTAGACTAACTGCTTTCGTTTTTTTTTCAAAGCTGAATGCAGTTAAGAGAAACAAATTTCGTGGCTCTTTTCCCATTAAGATAGTGGACTACGTCACAGTTAAGTATTTAAAATCTAAACAGGAAACAGACCACTTAAGATCTAAGAAAAGCGCATTGTATCGTTTTCGAGAATTTGTCACGTCCCGACGATACTGAACGCGCTCACGGCTACCGACCCCCCACTCGGGCGTCATAAATTATCAGCCTAATGAGAAAATAAAGTTGCAGAGAGAAATACAAAGAATTCCATTCGAAATCTCATCTCACCCGAAAGGAAGATTTTATACATTCACCCTTACAGCAAAATTAATCAAGGAAAATAATTTCAAAAAAAAAAAGTAAAATAAAAAAAAAAAGAGAAAATATAAATATAAAATATTAAGCAGTTTTATTAAATAAAATTAAAATAACTGCTAAAATAATGTCATCTCTGAAGCCTTTGTTTTTTTTCTAAATATTTGAATTCTTTTGAGTATTAGCGTTTTAAAATAAAATTGTGATAAAATATAATCATAATTTACTGAAAACTAATTTTTTTTTAATTATATTTTAATGCTTCTAAATTATGTTAAAAAAAAAATTTATTAAAAAATAAAAAATAAAACATTGTCATCTCCGAAGCTTTTTCGATAAACATAGAATTATTTCTTTGTTTTTGTATCTATATGTATTATTTGGCAGGTAATAACCAGACAGACAATAACTCATTAACCTGTTACTCTGGAAATATTTGGTACTTATTAAAAATTGCGAATTATTACTTTATTTATAAAACTGTTTTACATCTAAAAATATGCGTAACTGACATTTGTGTATTTTTTTTTCGAACTCGCAAAGCGAAATAAAAATAATAAACTATTATCTCAATTTATTCTAATGTTATATTTATAATCTGAAAGTTTAATATATAATTGATAAATAGTTTCAATAAATTATTTTTATTTACAGCATGGAAAATATATTTGTCAAAATTTGTAAAACAAATGAAAATCAACAATGCTTTGAGAACCATTTTTTGTAAATAATTTCAAAACACAAGTCAATAAATCTGCTGTAGCTTCTGTATTTTAAAAAAAAAAATTATTAATTTTGCGCAACTTCAATACTTATGTTACACTTCTATGCTCTAAAAGAAACAATTACAAGATGTAAAAAAAAAAAAAAAAAAAAAAAAAAAAAAAAAAAAAAAAAAAAAAAAAAAAAACTTACCAACGGCAATCCGTATGTCACAGCGCTTCCACCCAATCACTCGTATACTTCTTCCTGATAGAAGAGAAGGAAAGGAAGACTTTTAGCACTTCACTCGCTTTCACAGTTTTTATTCACAGTTTTCTTTTCCTTGTCTCTCCTTCGTTGAGAATATAAAATAAAACTCAAATAATAAGTCCCTTTAACGTTTAACTACAATTACACTACATTTATATCCTTCTTTGCACTAACTCTTTCGCGAACTGCCGTCGACGACTTTGAGCTACAGCGGATGCGAAACTAAACCTTTGTTAACGTATTAAGGATTAGTCACACAATAAGAAACACCATGCTTACGCTGTGTTGCCATAATGTATTAACTGACTAATCCTTCAATGGAAAATAGATTTAAGAAATGAAAAAATTTTTGTGCCATTATCAGGTTACGAGTGAAGAGTATCGAGTTCTCCGGGACGGAAAACGGAATTTCCACGGTGGATTGTTACATATTTAGTTGCTTCAATGCAACCATTTAAAATTCAATTAGTATTCGGCAACACTGCCTATTATATTTTAATCTCTTTTCGTCGACAAGACTCGCTATGAGAAGCAAGACCTTGTTTACGGATACCTGACACCCTGATAAGGAACCGCCGGCAGCTTGCTAATACTCTTTACTCGGCACCCTTCTTTCAAATATAAAATATTATAAATTAAGTTTTTAAAATTGTCTCTAGAGGGTAACCTTGTGACAGTGTTACGAAGCCAGATAGCGAAAAATATCACTGTCGCAAGGTTGCATATCTACTTTATCATCGTTACATATGTCTTTTATTATTGGAAACATTGTAACAATGTTGTGAAGCATCATGGCGAAAATCAACATAGTTGCAATATTAGTCATCTACTTCGTTCAAGCACCACGCGTATTTGCTGCAGCAATGTTGCGAAGAAAATGTCGAGATGCAACATTGCGCGAACAAGACTTCGTTTTATAAGAATACAAAAGGAATTATATTAAAAAATATATATGTAATAGTAAATGCAAAAGAAAGAAAAAAAAAAAAAGAAAATATACATTCGAACATATACAACTCACAGCTTGTGGTGTATATGTGAGGGGGGCGACCAGCGCAACACGCACGGACACGAAACAGCCGTGCATAAACTACAGTGCGCTCGTGGGTTCTCGGTTACAAGACTCACACCACCATGGGACTCGTCGTGCTACGGGCACTAACACACACGCGCAACGCTTGCCTCTACTCGCTGCCTTATCTGTGCGTAAAACCTTTCCTTCACCCCTCCGGGCCCGCAAGTTGTAAACACAGCGCCAAAACAAAAGCACGTGCGTTTCCAACAGCTGATCCGGTATTATATGCAAACGCATGTTGCCTTGGAACATTATATGCCCAATTGCAGAAGACTCTTTTATTTAACACACATTTGTTGCAACTTTGTTTCCAACAAATTAACGGAAAACCATGGGTCATAGATATGGATATAGTCACAATTGGATACGTAACCTACTTGCTATCCTCTATATGGGTTGTAATAATTGCAATAAATTATTGCACCATTTATAATGAAATTGGATTATAATTTTGTTAAAATAATATTGTAATTTATGTTACTAAATTATAATTTTGTTAAGTAAATTATAATTTAATTTAATTATTTTAAAATAATTTTCAGAAATGTATCATATTAACAGACCATTTCCGTTCTCACGGAGCCTGCATGGGAATCAAAAAGATCAGCAAAATTGCAACTCCCACCGGGCCCAGGAATTTTCCCCTACTTCCATCTAAATTTTCGTTTTCCCCACCTTGACACTGAAGGCAAGGACTAGAGGCTAGTCGCAAAATCTAATTAATTGCAGTACAACTTCTTGACTCTTCCGAGCAACATCTCCTGGCTCTAGCCTGGTAAGTGTTGCGAGACCTCAAGAACGCCGCGACTTAGCCCGTCTGCGCGTCGGACCCCCGTGTAGAACTTAGATTAAAAGTATAACACGAAAGGCGGACGAAAAATAAAATAGAAGTCTTCTAACCGACGAAGTCCACGTGAGAGCTGTAGCGGGAGAAATTCGGTTTAGTAAATAAATTTTACTAAATCGAATTTTGTTTAATAAATAACCGGCCAGTCCGTGCGTGTAGCGCCTGCGCCGTTTCGTTACAGTGGCCCCACAATGCAGTGTTAAAAACTTTTATTCGGGTAAACCAAATAATTTAACCTGTAAAATTCGAACAATAGGTTGTAAAGACAACCAAGTTAAGTGTAATTAAAAGCGTTCTTGCCCGACGACAACAAGAATATCTCTAGCTGACGTCGGTAGTCGTAAGTAAATTCTGTATCGTTCAACATTAACCACTCTATTTTGTATTAAACTTTTAAATTCACTTGTTAACCACAATATTTTCTTTCCTGAATAAAAGAACAAATATAAATAAAATTACTAAATTTTACTTACCTTTCAACTGAACTCCTTTTGCTTTAACACCATAACTAATTGATTTTCAACCAATCATTCAAAGAAAAACAACGAAGCAGAGCGTAACTTTTAAAAGTAAGATAACGTCCCCACAAAATTAAACAAGGTCCTTCAGACCTTGGCAGCTTGGTGCCTCCCCCAAACTAAAATTTAGGGCCATCTCAAAAGCTCGATTTAAATAATAAAATTTAAATAAATAAATTTTTGGTTTGTAACAATACATTTACTAAGATAAAAACTATGTATATAGATAGTTTATTTTTTTTAGATAGGATATAAATTTTCCTCGTCAGTCCCATCGGTATTTATAAAAGTTATGTGATTATTAGATTTTATTATAAATTATAATTTTCATTTGAATCTGTAATATTATCAATATTTTATTATGATTATAAGTGTTATTTTTATATATATACAAATTTTTATTCATACTTTTAATTCTTATATCATTATCATTCGGGGGGGAATATGTGGGGAGAGCTTTATCTTTCCCCCCACTTTACATCGTGATGGGCTGACGCGAACCTTGACAACCGTTGCTAGGGAGTCAGGTTGCCGTAGATGGTTAGAGTAGTACGCATAGAGTAGTTGAGTAAATAACATAGTTTTATCCACGTGCTATCAAAATGTCTTGTAGTTACAAATAAATTCTTATATTTATTATTATAAATAAGGACTAATTTTATTTAATTTCTCTTAATATATTTACATGGTTTGGAGAACCATAATATGAAATATCAAGTAAAATCTCCACACATGGAGGAGCTAGAACGCCCCCACGCGCTTTATCTCCTGCACTAAATAACGATAAAAATTTAAACTTAAACCAGACTCGCCGAACAGACGCGACGACGAGCCCCGAAAAACAAGAGCGTCAAGCCCAAGTAATGATATTGCAAAGACAAGAAGAATCTTGCAAACAAAAATAAACAGAGAATTCCCTGTAATATCCCTAACATCCCCGGAAATAATAAATTCTAAGGCTTCGTTCATAATAGACACTGGAGCTGATGTTAGTCTAATAAAATTATGTGTTTTACGACCGTCACTAATTGTTAGAGAAGATGAAGCAATCCACATTGCTGGAATCAATCCTGTAAAAATACCGACACTAGGAACTACTAAAATAACATTCAATAAAAAACCAATAACTTTCCAAGTAGTTCCTTCTGATTTTCCTATTCATTCCGATGGAATTTTAGGCCGAGAATACCTCAGACAAGAAAAAGTCGAAATATCCTTTTGGCATAACACCATGGTAACCCACACTAATCCCACAAAACCATTACCATTTACCAGGAGAAGAATCCGAAAGAGAACCATCAGAAGAAGAATATGAACCACCAGAAGATAGAGTTTCAGCCATTATTAGCAACCTGAGAATCGATCATCTAAATGCAGAAGAACAGGAACATGTCAGAGAAATTGTAAATGAATATCCGGAAAGTTTTCATTTACCAGGAGAACCACTGACTCCAACAAACCGAGTCCAACATCAAATATTGACTGTAGATGAAATACCCATTCATACAAGACCGTATCGATTTTCACCTTCACAAAAAGAAGAAATCGACAAAGTCATAGAAAGAATGTCTACCGAAGGTGCTATAGGTCCTTCCACTTCACCATATAACTCTCCTTTGTTAATTATACCTAAAAAGATTGATGGAACAGGTAAGAAAAAGTGGAGAATAGTAATAGACTTTAGAGCACTTAACGAAAAGACCGTGGGTGACTTCTACCCAATGCCCCACATAACTTCTATCATCGATTCCTTGGGCCAAGCCCAATACTTCTCAGTATTCGATCTAGCCAGTGGATTTCATCAGATAGAATTAGATCCCATTGATAGACAAAAAACTGCCTTTTCAACTGTTCACGGACATTACGAATACATACGAATGCCCATGGGACTAAAGAATTCACTAGCTACGTTCCAAAGACTAATGGATCAAGTATTAATAGGATTACAAGGAGTAGAATTGTTTGTCTATTTAGACGACATAGTAATCTATGCTGAAAATCTTGAAGAACATGGCAAAAAGGTAAGAAGATTACTAAAAAGGATTAAAAGAAGCGAACCTGAGTTTACAACCAGAAAAATGCGAATTTTTGTTTAAAGAAGTTGCCTATTTAGGGCACATAATTAGTAGCGAAGGAGTAAAACCTAACCCAAAGAAAATAGAAGCTGTAGAGCAATTTCCTACCCCCAAAACACCTAGAAACGTAAAGCAATTTCTTGGTCTAGCAGGTTATTATCGAAGGTTCATAAAAGACTTTTCTGCAAAAGCCAAACCTCTTTCAAACTTACTAAAGAAAGACATAAAATTTGTTTGGGGACCCGAACAAGATCACAGTTTCAAGGAATTAAGATCAGCCTTATGTAAAGCTCCCATATTACAATATCCTGACTTCAATAAACTATTCACCATAACAACAGACGCATCAGATTACGCCATAGGCGCCGTTTTAAGTCAAGAAAAGGACGGAATGGATTTACCTATAGCATACCTTTCTCGAGTTTTAAACCCACTAGAACAAAACTATTCTACTACAGAAAAAGAATGTTTAGCAGTTCTTTATGCTGTCCAACACTTTCGACCTTACATTTACGGCAAAAAGTTCATGTTAGTTAGCGATCACGAACCACTTAAATGGATAAATTCAATAAAAGATCCTGGACAACGTTTAGTAAGATGGCGTTTAGAATTAAGAGATTACGAATATGAATTCAGATATAAACCTGGGAAATTAAATCATAATGCAGATGCATTATCCAGAAATCCAATAGTAAAAGACTCACAAGAATTAATTAACGAAGAAAATTCTAAACAAGCCAAAATTCTAATGCAAACTAGACAATCAAAGCGATCATCAAAAATACCATCAGAAGCATCTACGAGCGCAACAAACACAGGACCCTCAACCCGTAGTAGAATAATTCCACCACCAAAATCCAAAATGAATCCAAATCCCACCACAGCAATTGCTGGACCCTCAACCCGCAGTAGATTAATTCCTCTACCAAAACCCAGAATAAATCCAAAATCAGGTGCAACAAATAAACCAGAAACGAGTAAAAAATTAGAAGAAAGTACTATTGCTCAACGAGTAACAAAAAGAAGAAAAGGAGACCAATTACAATCAAAACAAAAAAGAATTATCGATTCATCATCTAGTTCAGAATCAGAACAAGAAAAAACGGACCCTCCTATACTGCCGTGTGATATAAGAACTTGGTTAACTGACATTTATGTCGAAGCGAGAAAATAGGGAAAAACTGTTTGCTTTCAGAAAACTAATAAGAATTAAAAAATTATTAAATTTAACTTCACATACTTGGTATAATGATAGTGCTCTATTTAATTATGAAATAAGAAATTAATTATTTAAACAAATTATATGAAATAATGCACTTGTGTGTTTTTCCGAATGCAAATATGAAGTAAAAAGTTTGGGAAAGTCCTTTGCGTAGTGTCCACGAAATAGGTACGCGAGCTCGGTCTGCTGATTTCATGGAAGAACTTAGCTAACTGCAGTGACGTCATGTGGTAAGGGGACAGTTGCAACAGT